GTGGTTTCAAGCTCTCCATGAGAGAAGTATCACGTATGGCTGCTCAATCTTGGAAAAAAGAACCACAACATGTTAAACGCAAATATGAAGATATTGCAAGAGAAGTGGAAAAACTTCATGTGCAGTTATCTATGTCTTCTTCCCCTGGTTGGGATAGACGAAGAGGTTGTTTTACCCAAAATCCAAATGAGATACAGCCTAATCATAAATATCAACGTGATCATTGTAGTATTTTACCCTCTGTAACTGTTCCTTCTTCATATATACCATATCATTATATTCCATCATCGATCTCTATGCCAACTGTGCCATCACAAAACTCATACCCTTCAATACAACCTGTGGATTGTAGGCAATCTTACTACTTTTTAGATCAAACATGTGGAAATCCTCAAATGGACTTTATTCAATATAGTGATTTATCAAATCCAAATCTTGATATTAATTTCAACCATTCCCTTGAAAGCTCTCCTGAATCTTTTAATTGTGAATTACCAGTACCAGTACAAGGAATATTGGAGCACCTTGACAACCTTAATTCCTTTGTCTAATGGTTTATTCTTTCTTTCAGTGGCGTTTCGTAACACAGAAGAAATTTACTCAAAAGATTTCTATTTCATTACATCAAACTTTAAATTCTTCTGTGAACAAACGGACACTTTCTTCTTTATGGATTACTCTTTTAACCATATAGACAAATACAATTTATGATTTAAAATAGTATATAATTATAATAATAATATTAATAATAATAATGTGAGGTGACAAAACGTATAGGTATTATAGCACACATGTTTAAGGGCGGATCAAAATAAAATTGGATCGGCTTTTTACAGTTATTTTACTTTTTATATAGCTTAAAAATTTTTTGGGTATGTAAGATTCGCTTTCTTTGATGGCTGAAAGAGAATATCATTCATTCATTCATTCATTCATTAATGTAGACTTTCAGTGTTTTTTTTTTTCTTTATTTTTGAAATAATATTTATGTAAATTAATTATTAATAATGTCATATGGATTCATATGTAAATATAAATTTTTTAAGTTCATATGTTTGGTCAAATCAAATATTCGTTACGATAAAAAAAAGATTTATGTTGTCACGTGATAAGTTGAAAATTTTACAGTTATCAGTTATTGAAAACATTAATATAATAGCCTTCCTCTTTTTTTTTTTTTTTTGACAGTAAATTTCAAACTAATCCAAAAAGGCACAAAATATGTAAATAATAACATGCGAAAGCGATTGTATAAAGTATATATTCATTTTTCCTTTAAGAGCAAACAAAATTCCTTTAGGAGCAAACAAAAGGATCCCGACCGGAACGAAGACCCATCCATATTTGAAGGTACCTGGTTTCGATCGACCGAGACACAAAATGGTATCCACAAAAAGAGTGTTCCCAGAATACCTCGAAATTCGCAGTCCATATTATGCAGTATATAAAATATAGGTGGGCGTGATTATTAATTTTTTTCAGATTTACACGTGACCATATTGTGTCCGCTCACTTATATTTACAATATACTGTAAATATACTGTAAAATATACTAAATATATACTGCAACTACTGCAAATGTACTGCAAATATACTGCAAATTTACTGCAATTCAACCATCTTCTTATCTTCAAGCTTGGCATTCAAACTTGCATTGAATTATCCTGATTTTCCGTAAACAATGTCATCATTGGCTGAAAAGAATATTAATATGATGCTCAAAAATGAATTTTAGATTCGTATTGTTTCTATATTTGGACTATATTATACAATCTACGATAATCATTTCATGCATTTAGTAATGATTGGTTGTTAAAAATTCATCATTATTGAATACGCCAACCAATAAGGATAATCCAATATCAAATATCGATAGTATATTTGTTAGTATATTTGTTAGCAATAGCATAAAATTTTTTTTTTTTTTTA